GGCTGATGTTGTGGCGTTCACTGCGCCAACTAGCGGTGGGGTATCTGAAGCTGGCTCGTAACCCGAATTTTAGCTCGCAACTCAAAGCAAAAAATCGGCCGAGAGACGGCTCCTGTCTCGAAAAACTTGTTAGTCAGGACACTCGTAAGTCAAGGCCCCACTGTTTTGACCATAGCTGGTGCTTTCACATCATACCAATCTTTCTTAGAAAATGGATCAACCACTTTCTTCTCGGCTCCCTTTTTGCAGCCTTTTGTAAGGCGCTTGTTCTTGCCCGCAGCCATGGTGCTGCTCAGAGTGCCAAAAGGCTGGCTCCTGCCACTCTTGATTAAAATGAGGAGTAGGACAATGTGTTTTTTTGGGGGAAACCCCACTATCCTGATGGTCAAAGACCTGGCTCCTAGTTCCGTGACTTTCAGCAAGGTCACTTCACTTCTTTGGGATCTGAAAAAGATGTAGTCATTTCCATTCACCAAACAGTTTTTGTTTTGCTTTTAGAGGAACTGATTTTCTCTTTTTCAAGTCCAACATGTCCTGATTTAATTACTGCACTCACCTTTTCTTGTGCTGGGTGAAAAGATAGCCTGAGGGAATTTAGAAAAATTCCATACCCCCAAGCTCTGAGCCACTGAGAACATAATGAGCCAGGAAGAGAGAACACACACAGCTTTTGAAATAACTGAAACCAGTGCACTGATCACATTTTTTATATTAATGAAGTCTTTTACTTGGTTGAGGTGTGCATAAAAGGAAGGAGTGATGGCTAAGAGCTCAGGGTTTGGATCACAGTTATGGGTTTTAAGTCCTGGTTCTATCTGCCATTTACTTAGCTGAGATATGGGTCAAGTAATCTCCCTGAACTTCAGTTTCCTCATTTGTAAAACCCATCTCTCAGAATTGCAATGAAAGTTGAATACGGAATATGTATAAAAATATCTTGGCACACAAAAGTGTTCCAGTACCATGAGCTGACAGTAATAGTAACTTTTGTCACCATGGACATTTACTTGAACCACATCCAAATGGATTTGAGAGAACAGGTAATGTTTACTTTGAAAAAAAAATGCTCTTCTGATTCTATTGTTACGTTTCATCACACTTTACTATAATTGTTTGCTTAATGTCTGACTATTCCCGCTAGACTGTAAGATCCTTGAGAAAGGAGCGATGTCTCTCTCATCTACCCCGGAACACATGAATTAGCACGAGGTTTAGTCTGTTGTTTCTGTGGTGGTGACCAGGGTATGCTCCCCAGCTCCCCATGGATGGCAGATCAGGTGGTGGAAGGGGTTTGGATGCAAGGAAGGCAAACATAGGAGGTGAAAATAAATAACAGGTGTTCCTCAGTCCATTCCCTCAGGATTACTGTGAAGGTTACAGGCTGAAATAGGAATGAAAGTATGAAAGGCATCAGAATTAAGGCCATCAGAGGGGTTCTAGTTCTGGTTCTCTCAACGTGGAATGAGAGATGTGAGCACAGCCAGGCGGATGGGAATAACTTCATCCAATAGCTTAGAGGCTATTTCAACGCCTTTGATCTTTATGGTTCTTTTTGGGGAAAATTTTAAGTGCATAATCTGTGTTTTAATGTCTCTGTATTCAAGTACAATTTCCCCTTTTACTCATTTACTACATTTGCATTCAGTTACATACATGAATTAAAGTCCTATAGGCAGCTTTGGATTAGTCCTATCAACTGAGCAGAATATCTGGGAGAGGCTCCAAAAACAACATTCTGATCTATCAAACGAGGTTCTGTCTTCAACCTGCTGATCATGGACCCCTCTGGGGTTAAGCAGATTTTTAGACTTTTAGAATAATGAAGGTACTAGGTCAGTGGTTCTCAACCTTCTGGCCCTTTAAATACAGTTCCTCATGTTGTGACCCAACCATAAAATTATTTTCGTTGCTACTTCATAACTGTAATGCTGCTACTGTTATGAATCGTAATGTAAATATCTGATATGCAGCATGGTCTTAGGTGACCCCTGTGAAAGGGTCGTTCGACCACCAAAGGGGTCACGACCCACAGGTTGAGAACCGCTGTACTAGGTGATTGTAACAGCTCAATAAAGAGAACACACAATGAGAGGGAAAGCTGGTCTAGGGCCAGGAGGGTATTGTTAACAAAAGAAAGACCTGCAACCGGATCACCTGAAATTTGGATAGTCTTCTAAGGTGTTGAAGTCAGCTTCTTAGCCTCACCAAAAGGAAGAAAGAGTTCCAAGCAGAGATAGTTTCCCAATCAGTGTCAAGGAGGTGTCCTCATGGCAAATCTGAGTGGCTAGCAGATTGCTCTTCTCAATCCTGACTTTCAATAATGGAAGTCCATTTTTGCCAGATAATGCACAGTGATAGGTATGAATTCAAGTAACTGTTGAGTAAGTCTGCTAAACATGTCTTTTACAGAATGAAGGAGGAAAAGTCTCTGAAAGAGAAAGCACCAAGTCACAAAAGCCCTCACATCCGAATTGTTAAAAATTATTGGTATAGACGTGGAGTCTCTTAAAAACTTCAACTCTAAACTGGTACTACCACTCATTAAGTGTTTGTCTCCAACAAAAATCACAAGGAATTCAAATGAAAGTGATATTTTCCTTGTACTGGAGTCTATATTCAGTGACCTTAAGAAAATTAACATATATTTTAAAAAGGAATAAGTGAACCAATTTTTAGTATAAGCCAAACTCTTGATTCTTAAATCTCTTCAGAAAGTTTCAAGATGCTTAAATAAATATAAAGACAATGGCTGACATTTGAGCTGCCTGGGTAATGTATCCTCTGATTTGTCACAACACTGCATACATGTTCTTTTGAATCCATAGCACCAAGCTCTGGTGGTCAATTAGAGACTTATTTTTAATCAACCATGGTACCTGGCACTGTCATCCTATTTTAGAAAGCTAAGTAGTTTAAGAAAAATCTCAGACTGTTTCTTCCAGAGTTATTTACACTAAGTTATACTAACACATAGTTTCAGGAGAGAAGACAGCGTAAACTCTGGGGGAGGGGGTGTTGCGTGGGGGCGGGGGGATAGAGAAAAGTGGAAAGTATCATTAAATTGTAATCTTATAACAATGCCCTTCAAATAGAAAATTTCAATATGCCATTCCTTTAGTTGTCTCTGCAGTAAGAGGAAGAGAATGGATGGATATGACGCCAGCTTACTATAGGACTTTTAGATGTTTTAAGGAGGTCAAATGATATGCACCTGCAGCTTGGCACTGTGCTTGTTTTATTTGCATAATCTTGTTAAAACATCTTAAAAGCAGGGCTGATATGGGAATCCCAGGACATCCCTTTTAGATGTATAACATATTTAATGAAGGTATCCTATCTAATAAAAGGGTAATATGCAAACTAACCATCACTCCGTCACAAAGATGGTGGTGCCCATAGCCACAAGGTGGCAGCACCCAGTCCCCTCAGCCTTGCCGGAGTCTCCCAGTCCTGGGGGGGCTGCCGCTGAGAGCGGGCAGCGTGAGTGACCTGGCGGAATGCTTGTTTCGTCACCATGGCGACTGAGGGCCTCTGGGCAGTGGGCTCGGAGTGACTGAGGCGGGACGCTTGCTTCGTCGCTGCGGCAACACCCCAGCCTCAGAGGGCCTCTAGGGGACAGGGGGGCTGGCCCGCCTCCGAGGCCGAGCGCAGGCCTGGAGAGGAGACTGCGGGCCTGCTTCCCACAGAAGCAGCGTGGCTCCCTCCTGCCTCCCGTGAGTGGCTCGCTTCCACCTCCCGAGCTCGCTTCCACCTCCCGTGGAAGCAGCGCGGCTCCCAGCGGCTCCCGTGGAAACAGCGAGCAGCTTACTGCACACGATATTGCGCGATGGGCTACTAGTCTTTTATAAAACTGCCAATTCAACACCCTTGATCTGGCCAGCTCACTTCTTACCTGTGCACGTCTCTCTCCAGTCCTCTTTTGGACTGTTTATTTTGTGCAGACTGAGATGTTTTTCTCTACTTACCTCCAACCTTCTGTTTCTGCCATTGCCTCTGATGCTACCAGTCAAAGTTTCTAGGTTCCCAGAGCCTAATCAGGGCTCCAGGGAAGGATGAAGTGCTTATAACTATGCCTTGCTTCCACTATCACCTTGGTTTCCAAGGAAAGGCAACACAAGAGTGAGGAAAGGAGGGATCACAGGGCAGCATGAATTGTGTGCATGTCTCCCTCCCAGTTGCAACACAGGCCATGAAATTGCCTCTGTAGTCACATCTGAAAATAGGCAAGTGGACCATAAGTCATTTTGTAAATGTTGCTTCCTACTTGCGCCAAATGGTGGCCAGGGCCATGCTGTCCCACTACCCACCACTGCTGTGACTCAAACCACCCAGAAGACCTGCCCAGCCTGGATGGTGGCACAGCTCATAGAAAGAGATGAGACAAATTCAGGACAGGCACCGGCCAGCTGCTATCAACATCATGGGGTGACCTTGATACCACACTCTGGCCCTGGCCCTGCACCTGGTTCAGGGGGTTGGGCTGGGGAGGGAGTTAACCTTGGCACATCTTTCTTACCCTCACTTCTTACTTTCCTTTCTTAGTTCCTCTGTGGATTCTGTATCATCAGACCTTCCTATTGTGACTTCACTTTACAATGAAAAGCACCCTTAGGTAGGGAATGGCAACCATCATTTTTTCCCCTTGCAATGGCAGACTATGAGCCAAAAAGTTTGAGAACCACTTCATTATTAAAAAAAACACTATTCTTCAAGAATGGGATATAGACAAACATGAGAAACACATAGTCCCTGAGATTGGGTATACTCCTATTCTTTGTTTATTTCTCTGGGGATATATAATCAAGTGATGTCTATAAAAACACTTTGAGAAAAGCTTGAAGCATTATATGGATACAGGGTGTTATTACTTCCTGTACAAGCTCTAATAGCAAAAATTATAATTAGCATTCAGTAAATGCTAGCTAGAAGTGTTACTGTTTAACACCCCCCTCCCCTTAATAAGTAAGCCGTAATACTTGTGTAATACTTCCTCCTCACAGGTATGAATTAGGAGCCGCTCTGTTTATTGGATGGTCAGGAGCCTCACTCTGCATAATTGGTGGCGTCATATTTTGCTTTTCAATATATGACAACAACAAAACACCCAGGTATGAAAAAGAAACAAAATGACCTGTTAAAAAGTACTATACTATTTCAAATCACTACATGTGAGACAAGTTATAGATAGTTCATGCTTCTTAGAAACTTCAAAAACCCAGAATTGGGAAAGGTTAGGAATATATTGTAAATATATTAAACATAGTAAATATTATATTGAATAGAATATAGTTAATTATAGTTCTTTTTTTTTTAAGCTCATCATTCTTACATCCCAAAGCTAGTTCTGGAAGTAGAACTATGGGTCTGACTATGGGGGTATTCTTCACTTTGGCCTCATCATAATGTTCACATAGAAATTGCTGATGAAGGTCACTGTGGTCTCCCAGGTTCTTGGAAGAGAAGTTTTAAATAATGGTTTTAAAGGATAATCACTGAACAAATGAAAAAGCCAGGAGCTTCTTCTGCAGAGATTGTCACACCAGCAGTTCAGAATTGACTTTGAAACATTTCTTGGGAAGAAAGCTAACTGAAAGCAATCAGGGAGACTTGGGCTGAGCTATGACAGAAATAGGGGGAGTGTGGATTCTTCCCATTTTTGTTTGCCCTACGTGTAAAACAGAATCTACCGAACTGTGTTTTGCCTTTCAGAATGGCTACGCATACAATGGGGCCACATCTGTCATGTCTTCTCGGGCAAAGTATCACGGTGGAGAAGATGTCAAAACCGCAAACCCCTCCAAACAGTTTGATAAAAATGCTTACGTCTAAAGAGCACTGCTGCAAGCTGTGTCTTGGGTTTGTTATAAAGGTGAACCGTTCACACAGTGATCCCATCGGGGCTCTCCTATAATTAACACTCAAACTATTTTTAAAATATGAATTTTTAAAGTTGTTGATTGTATGGATGTAAATGTTCTTATATAGTTATAGACTAATCATTTTCTGTTATGGCTTTCTATAAAAAAAATAAACAGGTTATTTACAGGATGTGTATATATTTTATCCTTTTGTAGCAGCAAAGGGGGTCAGGATGTAATTTGTAAAGCAGTCTTAATCAGATGTTGCAGTCTTTGTCCCCATGCCTTATGATTCTTTCTTCATATATTTAACAAAAAGCGTATAACGAGTACTGTCTTGTAAACAGTAAGTCGTCTCGGGGGGCAGTCTGAGACTATTCCTCAAAAGACGTTCGGGTTGAGTTGACATGTTCTGGCTGCATGTTGTGACTTCTAGTTTCTTGCACCTGTCTGCCCACTGTCATTCACAGTGACTGCTCAAGGAAGGGCTAAGGGGCCAAGATGTTATGGCCCATTACCTGGCTAGTCCGCCTTAAATAACTGCGTAGGCTCCTCTGATTCAGAAGGCAGTCACTGGGGTGGAGCATCAGCAAGAGCTGAGCTGGAAGCGCTGGCCATGGCTGCCTTTGAAGCCAACAAAGGAAGTCCTGAAGCCTGCGTGGTACCCGCCTCCCACAGAAGCGACGGGCCAAGTTCTGACATCTCTTAGGTCCTGTGTGTGGAACTAACCGGGTAAGGGGGAGGCCATTATTCAAATATGGAAATTGCTCCAGTGATTTTTGAACAAAGACAATGAGTTATTCCCCAAACCAGCCTTTTACCACATGTCCAGCACCGTTCTGAACACTTTACATGCTCTAACTCACCTCAGTCTCACAACCGCCCTCTTAGTAAAGTACTGTTAGGATCCTGATTTGACAGAGGAGGAAATGAAAGCGTTTAAGTGACTTGCCACAGTCAGTGACAAATCAAGGACTCTGAACTGAGGCAGTCAAGGGTAAAATATAATTTTAAGCTTTGCATAAGAGTTGGTATCTGTGTTATCTGTGAGCAAGACACTTTCCGATACTAATCACAGCATGGGTGAAAATAACATTTTTTTCTGAAGCATGAAAGACTTAAAAGGAAAATCACATTGTTTGGAGGTTCTCAGTGGAAAGAAAAGGAAATGAACATGTTTGTTACCCCCCCAAAATTGTGTGTGTGTGTGTGTGTGTGTGTGTATTCAACCATTTCAACCATGATAATACTTGAAATATTTTTTCTAGGGATATAAATGAACTGGAAGCAATAAAGGGAAGTTAGGTGGCAGGGTTTTCTTAAGTGTGTTTAAAACAAATTTTAAAATTTCAGAGTTGTGCTAGTAAAGATAATGTTTAGATTGTACTGAACTGTTATCTATATATATAAAAGCCTAATATGTTAAGTGTCCAACCAAGCAGTTGACCAACCGGTCGCTATGACATGCACTGACCACCAGGGGGTAGATGCTCTGACCAGTAGGTTAGCTTGCTGCTGGGGTCTGGCCAATCGGGACTGGGCGAGATGGAACCGGACATGCCCTAGAGCCCTCCCATGGCCCCTCCCCGGCCACGGGCCCTGAACTGCCCCGATCAGGACTGGGCAAGATGGCCCTGATAGGCCCCAATCGCTGGCCAGGAGAAGGGACCCCACCCATGCACGAATTTCGTGCACTGGGCCTCTAGTAGGATAGTAAGAAGCTAGGAAAATTCCAAGGCAGGAGGAATAGGGAAACTGAGACAAAAAAATTAAAATAAGGCCAGTTTGGCCACCTGTAGCCAGATTGTAGATAGCAAACCCTTATCTTCCCCCAACCAAGAATGCTGGAGAGCAGATTCCAAAGACTGCAGGAGAGGAAGGGAAAGAAAAGGGGGAGAGGAGGAGGAATTTTAATGCGACTAGAGAATACATACCTTAAATCACCCTGGAACTACTGAAAGACCGCAAAGAGGATGGAAGAGGGGGAAGGAAAAGTGCAGTCTTATCTCATCCCACTATTTAAACAGAGAAGCCAGCAGCCTTGGGATTTAATTGCCAGGTGCTTCTCATAAATTCTGGGAAAGCCATAACAAAGTAGAGGGAGAGAGACCTTCAGAGCTAACCTGTACCAGGATATTTAGCAAAGGAATTTTAAAATCTAGAGACAGAAGGGTATGTAACCACTTGAACCCTCACCAGACTCAGATGTAGTTTAGTAGATTTGTTTGCCTTGCTTCTTTAATACGTTCGCTTACTTTAATTTTTTTAATAAGTTGGCTTCATCACAATGCCATTATCTGGAGTCACTCGTTTGAATTCATTCCTACGAGCATGACAAGAATCGAGCCAGGGACAGCCCTCTCCCTCTGACTCAGGGGGCTGTCTGGTAACGCCTCTCTGGTGTCTGAGAGAGGTGCCTATCACAGAACTATTCTAGCTCCGGAGGAACTTAGAGAGAAGAGGGAGTACAAGTATGGAAAAGCTCTGCCAGTAACCAGAGCTGTGCCTCAGTGAAGGGAAATAGAAGGTGATGGTCCAAAGAAAAATGAACACACCAGATCTAGCAGGACACAATGATAGGCCTAAACAGATAAGTTAAAAGCATTGGGTTTTACAACACAGATGTAGCGACTAAATTTAACCCTTTGAGTGCCAACCAATATCCTAGGAACTATGCTAAAATTGCCAAGGCATTTTTGCTGATTTTACAGCAGTTTAGGAAAAAAAATTATGAATCGCAAGTAAATGAAGTTACATATTCAAAAACTTAAGGAAACCTTTACTACATTGGCTGGACGCCATTTGCCATTTCAAAGCTTTGATAGCGCTCCCGGCACTTTTGGCGAAAGACGGGAGGAGCGCGATCTCGCTCCCCAGCACTCTAGGGGTTAAATGTTGGGTGTACTTAGCAGAAGTTCATCAATTTCCCCAACCCTTTCCCTGGTAGACACAGAACATCTTTAGGATGAGGATTATCCCAATAACTATGTCTCAAAGTTTATCTAATTAAGTGAACTAATAATGCATGAAAACAACACAAGCCCAAGTAGTTTAAGATCTCATGACTGAATGAATGAACAACTGAATGAATGAACGCAGTGGCTCGTGTGCCTGTGTGCCTTCTTAGGCACGGTGTGTTTTTGTAGGTTGCTTATCTCTGTTCCACTGCATCAAAATTTTATTCAGCTTTTATTAAAAGTTTTAGAAACTTACATATAAAGTGTGTACATTTACACGAAATGTTCCCTGTGGGAAGTTTGTAAAAGGATGATAGTGGACTACAAGTAAAAAGACAGGGGGAAGGAGACAGAAATAGGTAAATTGTTCTAACTTTAGATCAGGATGTTATATGGCATAGCCAACAAGGCAAGCTTAAAACCCCTAACAAGATTAAGTTTAACTCAGAAATCATCTCTAGTAACTCAGCCACAGTCACAATGATGTAATGGAGGGCTTTACTTAAAAGGATGACAAAATGAAGAGACCCAAAACCCAACAAACCATATAGTTAAAATGTTACTTTTGGGAAAGAGAGTACAGATAGAATCACAAAGTATGAAAAATGCAAAAACACTTTATATGAACTTTCTGACCATTGACAATGCCATTGTTAAGAACAGAACTAAATTAGTTTTGAGGCATTTTATAACATGGGTTGGGCATTTTTAAAAAGTGGAACAAAAACTACATACACATGAATTCAGTAATGACAATCTTTTCTATTCATATGTTGATAAATTAATTGACACTTAAAACAGCTTTTTTCTTTTCTTTTTTTTGGAGCAAGTAAAGGTTTATTGATGGAGAAGTCCTAGCTCTAGAAGATGGGAAAACTATCAAATCCTTCTTAAGAGAGTCTGGAATCCAGGCATCTATTGTTCCTAAGGGAAGGGAGGAGGGGCAAAGCAAGGGGTGGGTGCTGGTATAGACAGGTAAGCCTCAAAAGGGATCCAAGGAAAAGTGCGAAATTTCTCAATCCCTTTGTTCCCAGTTGGTCCACTGATGCCCACTGGTCTGAGTCCAGTTATGGCGACTCCTGTGAATCTTTGAAAAACAGTCAGTACTTTGTGCATGTTTCCCTACCTCTTTGCTGACAAGGGGGTTCGGGGGGCGGGGGCTGCTGCTCAAGCCTCAAGCAGGATTCTGCTAGTTAATTAACATATCTGTGGTATGTCTCTCTGAAGGCTATCAGAGAGAAAAATTTCATTGTTACAATTCCCCCATTCTGTTCATTCCTCAATCTTTTTTTAAAAAATATATTTTATTGATTTTTTTTTACAGAGAGGAAGGGAGAGGGATAGAGAGTTAGAAACATCGATCAGCTGCCTCCTGCACACTCCCTACTGGGGATGTGCCCGCAACCACGGTACATGCCCTGGACCGGAATCGAACCCGGGACCCTTGAGTCCGCAGGCTGACGCTCTATCCACTGAGCCAAACTGGTTAGGGCTATTCCTCAATCTTGAGGGAAATAGAGCAACTGGGCCCAGGTTCAACACAGAGGGAGGATTAGCTTGTAGTAAGATTTGTCTGCCCCTGGGTGCCCCTCTTCTGGCCCTTATAATCTCACACGCCCACCTGAGCCTTAGAGGAGGCATTTTGGGTGTACAGTTTACAAGCAGAGACCACAGCAATGGTGAAAGAAACAGTAGGCCAGGATACATGTACCCTAAGTAAGGATTAAAGCAAACCATAAGCCAGTCTCTGAGTCTGTAAAGCTGTCAGTCTAGAAGACCCCCAGATGAAAGGCTCAGAGCTTCATTTTTGCGGGAATGAAGGCAGGCAGTGAAAATTCGACAGATTGCACTGATCTGCAGTCCGAACATCAGCTGTCTCTGTGGCTTACACAGCATCCGTCACCTAAACCATCAAATGTGAGCTGTTGTGAAGATTTCTCCGAAGTTTACATTATATCATCTAACTACAGTCTGCATTTGCAAGGCTCAGAATAAAGTTTTAGTTCTCAATAACTCCAGGGCAAAGGAAGGGAGAAAAGTAAAACACTAGTTAAGAGGGCTGCAGCCAAACATTTTTGCTAGAAAAATTCAGGACCCAGTCCTG